GTTTCTTTAATTTTTACATTTTTACTTTTATTTTTGCAATTTTTGAGGCAGATTTTGCACCTCATTTTTCAAATTGGTAATTCATGTTGATTTATTTGATCTTGGTAGCTAATTTTTTTACTTGTTGTTATTTAGTTTCTCATGTCCGAAATGCAACCCATTGGTCAAAAGCTCAAGTATTTCTTTTACAACTATTGGAACACAGTCACTGCCATTGCTGTTGTATCTTTTTTGTTTGGGTTTGGGATGCGGGCTTTTGGGTAAGCTTCAATTTTTTTGCAAAGTCTTGCTTTAGTAAGGCAAAATTTTCAAACTGCTTTTTCAGTGTAATAACGACCGGGCGGGTAATATTGGCATGCAATTCGGTCTTATGGACAATGAAGATGTTAGACTACATGAGTGTCCATCCACGCTTGGGACCCTATATCACTATGGCTGGGAAGATGGTGATTATTTACATTTTTGACGTTCTATGAAAATTATTTGAGTTATTTTTATTGTGTTTTAGATTCTAAATATGACTTACATCGTGGTTATGCTGGTGGTATCGCTATTAGCATTCGGTCTTGCTCGACAATCCATAACGTATCCCAACGAAGATTTTCATTGGCTTCTGGTGGGTAGAATCCACTTTCATTACATTTCTCATTTTCATCTTTTCTCCTTTTCTTCGCTATTTCGTGGATGTTAATTCCTTCCAGATTGTTTTCTGCAACCTTTCTTGTAATTTTCTCTTTTTTTCGTTTTTTGTACGGTATCCTTTTATAGGTACGCAACATCTTTTACAAGCCATACTTCATGCTGTATGGAGAAGTATATGCCGATGAAATTGATACTTGTGGGGATGAAGGTAAGCAACACTTTTTGGAATGAAAGTGAAATTACCCGTGCGTTTGTTACAGCTTGGGATACCCATCTGGAGCAGGGTGTGCCCATAACGAACAGTACTTCTGGTGCCACCTGTGTGCCTGGATATTGGATTCCACCAGTATTGATGACATTCTTCTTGTTGGTAGCGAATATCTTGCTGATGAGCATGCTCATTGCGATATTTAAGTGAGTTTCTTTTATTTCTGTTGTTGATTTTTAATCTTTCCTTTTTTTGACACTTTCACTCCAATACAGGATGCAGAACCTGAATATTTACATCATTTTAGCCACATATTCGACCAAACCGATGAAATAGCGCAGCAGATTTGGCTTTTCCAGCGATATCGCCAGGTATGCTGACAAACTGGTGTGGTACATTGATATTCCACCAAAAAATTCTCCAGGTTATGGAATATGAGAGTACACCTTTCATACCACCTCCATTCACTCCAATTTCGCATGCTATCCTGGTTCTGCGGTATGTGAAGTGGAAACTGTGTACTGCTCGACATGAAGTGGATCCGGATGGAAATCGCCAGAGGAAAATGTTTGACTTCAGTTTGAGTAAGTTCACCAAGCATAATTCGATTTCTCCTTTCTAAAGAATTTCGTATATTTCCTAATTTGTGATGGT